ATTAAAATCAAAAATAATAATAAGAAAAATTTCTCTTAAGCCCTAGGAGCCTCTTCTCTTAAGCCTTTTCTCTCCTCCGTAGCCAGCCACCAGTACCACCGTGAACTTCTATTTGGAATCAAATTTCGCTTAAAAAGCCCTTCGATTTTGGAACTCTTTGAAGAGCAGAAAAAGCCCTTCGATTTTGGAACTCTTTGAAGAGCAGAGACCAAAATGGGTTTTAGTTTTGAATTCGATCCCCCCAGCGACGAAGAACTGGACCATTCCGAAGCCGAAGAAGAAGATGAAGAACAAGGTGTGGAAGAGGAGGAAGATGAACCTATTTCTCGCCGCCGCACTGAATCTCCTTGGGATTTTGCTTCCTACTCCGAGTCAGTCGCCGAAGAACATGCTCGTCGAAGCACTACCTCCGTTGATTACAAAATCTCCAAACTTCTAGAGAAGCGCTCTGGAAGCTTCACTCCAGCCGCCATTGCCGATGATTATGAAAGTTCTGAAGCAGAATCTGACAGACAAGTAACTTTTGAGCCTTATCTCTATTGGCGACAAGTTGTTTGTTTTCTAACTAAGTTCTTGCATTTTGATTTTTAGGAAGATTATAGACCGGAAGATGACGATGATGGAAATAGTCATGTTGGTGATATTAAACCCTTTTTTTCACCTTCCGATGGGGCGTCCTTTCATGCAAATTCGTTCATGGAGCTCAATTTGTCGCGCCCATTGATTCGGGCATGCGAGGCTTTGGGATATGCAAAGCCGACACCAATTCAGGTGCCAATATTTGATTTTTATTTTTATTTTTTAATATAATCTTAAATTTTATTTTCTCACTAATCTTGTTGAGTAGGCGGCTTGCATACCGTTGGCATTAACTGGACGTGATATATGTGGAAGTGCAATTACAGGTTCTGGAAAGGTAGGGATTTATTTGTAATAATTGCCACGATAACTTTCTGGAATAGAACGTCTAGTGGTAGTTTTATTTTATGAAGAACTATTGCAAAAGTTATCAATAAAAGGAAACTAATTTTGCTATTGATGTTGTCCTTTTCTTACAGACTGCAGCCTTCTCACTACCTACTTTGGAGAGGTTACTGTATCGGCCAAAACGAGATCGAGCAATAAGAGTGCTAATTCTAACTCCAGCTAGAGAATTGGCTATTCAGTACGTACAATTTTTTTTTTCTTGATAAGAAACAGAAATGAATTAACAACAAAAAGACCACTTAATATGGAAAGTATATTTCATTTAGCCCAAATAAACACCAAGCAAAAACTGAACATGCTTTGAGAGATCTATTATGTACTGTACACACATTCCTATATTTTCATGTTAATGTCAAATAAAAATGTGAGAGTCCTAATAGGGATAGTTTGGGAATAGTATTAGTATATGAGTTAGGGGCGTTAGAGTAATTAGTTAGGGGTGCAGTGGTTATAAATAGAGGAATTAAGGAGAGGAAAGGGTATCTTTCGGGAATAGCTTAAGGTGAAGAACTTAGCCTAGTTCTTTTGGAGAGAGAATAGCCCTCTCGAGGCTATTGATATTGTAATTTCTCTTTGATATTGCAATATAGTTATCTTGTTTCGTTTAATGTATTTGGGATCCTAACAAATTGGTATTAGAGCATTGATTCTGGCCTTGGGTATTGTATCGGAGTTAATGCTGCTGAAGTTACCAAGATGGGCTGTAGAAGAGGATAATCCTTTGAAAGAATTGCAACTACAACTCAAAGAGATGCAAGATGTGCTTGCAAAGTGTATAGCAAGGCCGGTTGGGAGGGAAAAAGAGACACCAAGTACGGAAGGACCAACTGTGAAGAAACCCATCCTGAAGTTATTGGATTGTTGGAAGTAGAGGTGAAGAGTTGCTGGAAGGCGTTGATCGTACCCAAGAATGTGGCCTAGAACTCGATGGAAAAGTCTACCAAGGTGGGGAAATGTTTTCGTGCAGGGACCCTGAAAGCACATGAGAAGAATGACAGACGAAAATCAAGCGTGAAGAAGTTGGGGACGAGAAAAATAAGGCCGCAACCACAACACTGGAAGTTAGAAAGGAAGTATGAAGGAGAAATAAAATGACAAAGAGGGAACGATAAGATTCCGACAGGCAAGGGGTCTTCGCAGACACCCTACCCATGTGGAGAAAGTTACCCTAGCTGTTGCAAGGAACCCCTCCAATCGCCGTTCACCTGCAGCATCAACATTGCTGCTCCATTTCATGCAGACTCTGCTTCGACAATGACTACTGGCTGTCATGCGTTCGTCGGACAAGTGCGTTGCCATCGTTTGACGTGTTTGGTTGCATGCTACCGTTCGCCATCGTTGGTTGCACACCACGGGCACTGTTCTTCACCGACATTGCTCCACTGACTCACACACCGTCACCACCCTCTGGCGCACCATGTTGCATGCCATTGACCATCCACCACCTATTGCACGACTCACTATCCACCACACACATCTTTTGCCGCCGTCTGCCGTGCATCCGTCATAATAGCAATTCAGCTAGGGTTTTAGATATGCTAGGTTTCTAATCTTGTGGGTGTTTAATAAAGGTAAATTTGGTTTTGGGTATGCCCACCTTGAGGGCAAGGTGTCTTTGAAGGACGTTGCAATGTGAGAGTCCTAATAGGGATAGTTTGGGAACATGATTAGTATATGCGTTACTGGCGTTATAGTAATTAGTAAAGGGTGAGTTGGATATAAATAGAGGAATTAGGGAGAGGAAGGGAGGTCTTTTGGGAATAGCTTAAGGTGAAGGACTTAGCATAGTTCTTTGGGAGAGAGATTCTCGAAAGACTATTAATATTGTAATTTCTATTTGATATTGTAATATAGTTACCTTGTTTCGTTTAGTGTATTTGGATCCTAACAGAAAATAAGGAATATTTGTTGTTTTGTTTTCCTCCAGAGTTCACAGTATGATAGAGAAACTTGCTCAGTTTACTGATATCAGATGTTGCTTGATCGTTGGTGGGCTTTCAAGAAAGGTATGACCTAATGTACTTAGGTGACTTTAATTTATTTCATAAAGCAGAAGTGTGAACTATTTATATATATACCCTTTACCAGGATCTTACATTGTAATTCTATTTTTAAAAAATCATACAAGTATTTCTTCACGTGATATAACAAGGACCAGTTTCATCTGAAATGCGAGAATTTTACAAAGAACAAAATTCTTTACGGCGGGGTCGTTGATCCATTTCCCTAAAAAAGAAATATGTTTGATCTTTCTCACCTTTCTTTGGTTAATGATATTTTAGTAATTTTATTTTGTTCAGGAGCAAGAAGCAGCCTTAAGATCAATGCCTGATGTGGTTGTGGCCACTCCAGGACGTATGATTGATCATTTACGCAATTCCATGTCGGTAGATTTGGATGATTTAGCAGTTTTAATACTTGATGAGGCAGATCGTCTATTGGAGCTTGGATTTAGTGCTGAAATTCGTGAACTGGTATATTATGCCCTCTTTGGTGCAATTTTTAGGATGGAAATTGTATGAATATTTGATTCCTCTGTTTTCTAGTATTTGGTATAAAGAGTCCTTGATTTTTATTTTTAAAGGTCCGTCTTTGTCCAAAAAGAAGGCAGACAATGCTATTTTCTGCTACCATGACAGAAGAAGTTGATGAGCTCATCAAGCTTTCCTTGACCAAACCATTGCGCCTCTCAGCTGACCCAGCTACCAAGAGGCCAAAAACATTGACAGAGGAGTAATTTTATACCTGTCTTCTTCTCTGGAATTTATTTATTTTGAATACGACATCTATTGACCTGAAAGTCTCTCATCTGTTGGATGATTTTTAGTTATCAAGTATGTGTATCCTACTTGCAGGGTCGTTAGATTACGTAGAATGCGTGAAGTGAATCAGGAAGCGGTCCTTCTTGCTCTGTGCTCAAAGACATTTACTTCTAAAGTTATTATATTTAGGTACTAGAATGCGAGAAGTTTGAGCTAATACCCAACTTTGTTTTTGAATAATTTCAATTGGAGGAATGCATCTAATTCTTTTACTAAGTAATGTATCTGATAGAGGTCCATTTTTCAGACTCTTACAAGCAATCGTCCTGTGATCTACTAATTCTAATTAATTTAATTTTTTATTATTTTGTTTTCCAAATAACATGACATATATTTTTTTTTTTTTGTCTTTTTGAAAAGGAAACTGTGATTTCACTGATGTAATGAAAAAATTACAAAAGGAAGGAAAGGCCTTCCAAACACCTATTGGTGGATTACAAAAACTTCTCCACGTAGCAATTAGAGTAGTAATGATGTATAACGTGAATTTCAATTTGATCATTATTTTTGTTTGACTGGTAGTGGAACCAAACAGGCTGCTCATAGGCTAAAGATTTTATTTGGATTAGCTGGCTTTAAAGCTGCTGAGCTTCATGGAAATCTTACCCAAGTTCAGCGTCTCGATGTGAGTGATTGAATGTTAATATAGTGTTGGAATCATTAAATCAAGAACCTCAGTTTCCTACGTAATCCTGATCATTATTTTGATTTTCTTATGTAGGCCTTAGAACTCTTTAGGAAACAACAAGTTGAATTTCTTATTGCTACTGATGTGGCTGCTCGGGTGATAACTGATTTTTAAATTTGTTGTCCTATAGGATATATAATATGGTTGAGAAAAAATCAGGTATATTCATTTTACTGATGTTTATGTGGTAATTTATGTTATGGTTGAAATGTTGTAGGGCCTGGATATTATTGGTGTTCAAACTGTTATAAACTTTGCATGTCCTCGTGATCTCACCAGGTAGATATTGGATTCTGATCTGTCTTATTTGTCACCACGTGACCATATTTACTTTTATTGGCATCACATCCTTATTTTCTCTTCATGGAAGATTCACTTTTTTCCATTTTACATCCAAATTTATTTGTTTTTTTTGGAGCAATGAGTATGGCTTTTAAAAAATACTCTTGTTGGGTTGGAAGTTCTGCATATGATTCTTGCCCATAATTCTCGTTGGCTTCCAGCACTCTTATGCAGAAGGAAATTGTCTGTGATCTTTAATTTTGGATATATATATATATGTATATAGTTATAAATTACACTATTTTAGAAATTTTGAATTCGAAAACTTCCCTTGATTATATTATGTGCACCATAATGTTAGTATTTCTCACAAGTATGTTCTACATTTTGTGCATGTTGAGACAATTGTTTCTTTCATTCTGACCATTTTATTTTTATCTACCTCATTCTTATATCAAGGCATGCATCAACCATTTTTATTTATTATTAACTGATCGAATTGATTACATTTGTAATTTTCATTCTTTTTGTAGCTATGTTCATCGAGTTGGTCGTACTGCAAGAGCTGGTCGAGAAGGATATGCTGTTACGTTTGTGACAGACAATGACAGATCTCTTTTGAAAGCCATAGTGAGTGTCAAGGCATTTGACCATTCTAAGTTTATGTTATAAACTTTTATTGCTATTGAATTCTTATTACTTCCATTCAAATTAGGGAAGAGAGATTGAAAGTAACAGCTGTAATGAGGGATATTTGGGACTTGGTAACTCGAGGGATTGGTCTTTTTTGAGGTTATCTGGAATCTGTTTACAAGAGTGCTCTTTCTTAGGTTCGTGCTTTTTGAAGGTGTATTAATAGCTTCCTTTGATATCTCTGGCTTCTCAACCACAAGCGGAAGAAAGCTTTAGGTGATTATTGGTATTTATAATAAGAAACCCCTTTATGAGAGCAGTTCATCAAGGCACCCTTTTTTTCCAACAAGAAACAATCTTTTCATATATGAAAAGGAAGAAAAATGTTCAAGGATACAAGCTTCCAATATAAGCAAAAAAGAGGAAAAAAGAAAATACAAATGAGCAAAATAGAAGAATAATAATGATAATGTTCAAGGATAGAAGCACCCAACAGAAGCAAAAAAGAGGAGAAAAGAAAATACAAATGAACAAAATAGAAAATGAACCAAATAGAAAAATATTGATGAGAACATAATATCTTCTAACAGAAAGATCCTCCAAGATGCAAGGAAACCAAAATAAAAACTTAAAATTTTTCATTAAAAGTATATTCTGAAAAATTCTCAATAATGTTGTTTGAAAGGTCCAAACCATTAGGGGAATCCAAACTAATGTATCTAACATTTAATCTTCCTTCTCATCATCTGAGAATTGTTGTAGAATTTATAGCCCCAAGAGAGAGAGAGAGCATGGAATTCTAATGGACACCGATCCTTCCTCCTTATTCAAAGCATAGTTTAGGTTGACAGATTGTGAACATGTTCCATTTAATAATCTTGTTGCAAACTTTATTCGTGAATACTAATAGGGTGAAGCAGGAATAAACTTCCTTGGCGGTAGCTTATCAGGATCAAAAGAAAGTAGGGCCAATGTTCTTTGAAACGACGTCAGCATTTACACCTTCTAAAGGACTGTTCTGATTCTCATTCTCCATCTCTTTCCTCTTAATCGAAGAATGAGATGTTTCTAATAAAAATCCATCTGACTCTCTTTCTCACTGACTTCACCAGCTGTATCCCTTTCCCCCAAAACTATCTTCTTTTCAGGGATATACGAAAGGCTAAGCTTCGAAACTCTTGCATTTAATCCTTCACCTGAATTTATTACCAATGATTTGGTGCCCCAAGCAGCTTCTTATTTAAAGTTCTTCTCACGTGGAAGACCTTTCATCTTCCATAATGTTTTGAATTCCCTCCAAATCAAGGGGTTTCGAAAAGTTCTCGAGGTTCAAATCCAAGAAACTTTTTCTTTTAGTGGCAGCTCTGATCTATCAACAATCGGGACTTGAATCTTAAAGGAACCAAGACGAGGATCCTTAATCTCAATTGAAGCAGGAAAGAAATCACATAAATTATCTTTTACCTGCAAGAGAACCTCCGAACAATCGATTAAATTTAGAGTCTTCAGTGAAACCTCCTCCAAACCTCCTAAATATGTTCCTGACACTTCAAAGGATTGCTTCGTCGAGTGTTTTAGCGGTAAGTCATATAGCTTTATCCATCCACTATATCCTTTTATAAATTCCTCTCTGCTGTGTTCGACAAAGTCCCATCTTTCACAACCTTTATCCATCTCCCATTTGTTATTTGACTACAAAGCAGCCAGCTATCTTCAAGCTTCAACAAAGCTTTATCTTCCATGGAAGGATTTCTTTTTTTTTTTCCTTGAAATCCGTGTGTCTGGGCCAGCTTTTGAAATCAATGGAAGGATTAATCAAACAACTTTGTGAAAACTCTTCTTTTACAGCAAGGGAGATTAGTTTCCAATCATTGTGTGCACAACACTTTGTAAGAACCATTAAGTTATTCCAATCCAGTTCCACCACCTCAGAATCCTTTTTGATACAGAAGGATTTCTGATCTTTTAGTATCTGATCATTCGGTTTCGCATAGGTAAGAGAAACCTGAGCTTTACCCTTCCCATGGAAATTCCAACTTTTGTCATCTCGAAAATTTCTTCTCTTTTTGCTTACCAAAGCTTCAATAAAGTGATACATTACAGCGAAGATCCCCACATTGATCAATTTCTCCTAATTGGTGTTCTATTTGTAAGGCAGACTCTGAAACGCAGCAACATTTACTTGTCACCTGCTCATATGCATCCCACTTTTGGAATGATCTCCAATCAATATTTGGATGGATCACTTCTCTCCCACAAGATCCCCTCTACTTTTCGAAACAACTCTTTTGGGTCATCCCTTTAAAGAGAAGAAAAAGCTCCTGTGGAAGAATTTTGTTTGAGCCTTTCTTTGGATAACTTGGAACAAGAGGAACCATTTCACCGGCAAGGAGTCTCCTTTTGATCGGTTTTTTGAATCTATTGTTTTTTTTGGTCATATTGTGGTGTAAATGCTCCCCCCTTTTCCAGGTTTATAGCTTAACATCTTTACTTTATAGTTGGAAAAGTTTTTTGTAATCCCTCTTTTGGGCATCTTTTGTGATTTCATACATCAATGAAATTGTTTCTTCTACCAAAAAAATAAAGGAGGGTTGAGGAATTGATGTTATCTTCACTCTTGAGTCTACCATCCCGTGGGACCTTCAGACTTCCTTTCTATAATCTAACCTTGATCATTTCCTCATAAGCCAACCAGCCACTCTTCTCAAGACCCTCCTTTCTATAATCTAACCTTGATCATTTCCTCAAAAGCCAACCAGCCACTCTTCTCAAGACCCGCGACTATTATCAGTCTTCTTCTTCCTCCTCCCTCTTCTCAATGACTCTCTTTCTCATTGACTTCACTCTTGAGTCTTCCTCCACTTGTAATCTTCAGACATAGTAGAATTTTTGAATCTTACATATACCAAATTAAGTACTTATCAAATTCAAAAAAAGAATTCGGATTAGCAGTTGCAACATATCTACGAGCTGTTCTTCAAACCAAGGCAATTGCTACAAATTCATAGGCATAACAACCTTGCATCGCATGTCTTCCATATAAAACCATTCATCTTCAAACTATAAGCGAAAAACTCATTTCCATGATAAGAATAAAGTAGATGAGCTAAAAGCTGAGGCTAAAATGAAAACTGAAAATCACTGCGAACAAACTTCAAACATGAACGAGAATAATTTGAAAAGGACTGCTCCAGGAAGATAGAGAGAAGTGAATGAACGAACGAGTTCAAGTTCAAACCTTCCTAAAAGAAAGAAAAAGAAAATCTAGATTTCCCTACTGATACGGTCTAATCTGATTAGTTCATCAAGGCACCCTAAAAATAGTGAAACCCTTTTATGAATGTTACAACTACCACTTCGAAACTACTCCCATTTAAATAGAATGTTAACCTAAATCAGAACACCCCCCAAAACTTACCAAGCCTGAAACAACCATTCTAAAGACAAGAATAACTTCTGTACAGAAAAACCTTATGGATTTCTTTTTCTTTTCTTTTTTTTTTTTTTTTAACAAGAAACAATTTTTCATTGATGATGAAAAGGACAAGAATGTTCAAAAGGTACAAACTCCCAAAAAAGTGAAACAGAAAAGAAAACGAAAAAAACAGAAAAAAAAACTCATTACAAAGGATTGATAAAAGCCATCCAAATCTGGTTCAAAAACACCAAATGTACTTTGTGGGCTTTTGTGGTGGCAGCCGTTTTGTGGAATCTATGGTTGGAAATGAATCATAGACATTTTGAAGATTTTTCTTTAGGCTTCCAAAATTGGTGGAGTAATGTACCGCTCACTACTTCTAGGTGGTGCTATAGTTTCAACAAATTTTTTTGTAACTATACCCTTTATTCTATCCTTCACAATTGGAAGGCTTTCATGTCTTAGCTCCTTTTTGGGGAGGGGCCTTAGGTTGTTCTCTTTTGTGATTAATACATATTCTCTCTATTTCTTATAAAAAAGGATAAAAACATCCAAATTAGAGAAGATTAGATTCAGAGAATAATTTGCAAAGGAATCAGCAAGAGAACACCAATGGGAAGCCTTGAACTTTGCTGAAGAGAGACACTCGAACAAGGATCCACTCTTACCCTCGAACAGCCTCAAATTTTTCTCAAACCAAAGCTCTGATGGTAAAGCTTTAACGGTGTTGATCCATAATAATCAAGTAGCAGTAGAAGAATGAGAACGACCACAAAGAAGCTGGAGCAAGAAGTCTTGTGCCTTACAGTAAAAAACCCAATCAATGTGAAAGATGCGAAAAAGAGATGCCCACCCATAAGCAACAAAAGAACAATGGAAGAATAAATGACTTTTATCTTCCCCACTAGCACCACAAAGAACACAAAATGAAGGAAGAAGATCTGCTGTAGGAAGCTTTCTTTGGATAATCTCTGCCGTATTTAATTTCCCTTGAAGAAGAATCTAAGAAAATACGTTAACTCTCCTTGGGCTTTTTGTTTTCTATAAGGCAGCATACAGATCCTTATCCATTGGAGAAGAAGACTGCAATCTGTCCAAAGAAGCTACTGAAAACACACCAGACCGTTCTAGAGACCACATTCTTCGATCTTATGTGCAAGTAACCAATGCTGAATCTAAACTGATAGAAGATTGGCAAACTCATCCAATTCTTCTTCCTTTAGAGGCCTTCTTAACACTATGCTCCACGAGAGTGTGTTTTGATCCCAGAAGACTGATCCTAACGGAGAAAGAGAAAGTTTGAACAATCTAGAGAATCTGTCCTTTAAAGGACAATTAAGGATCCAAGGATAATGCCAGAAAGAAACCCTGTTACCCAGGCCGATTCTATAAGACAAAAAGGGCTCCACTTTCTTCCAATGCTTGGAAATATGACTCCAAGGGCAATGCTTGCTACTAGCTGTATGTGAACCAGTCGAAAGAGTCGGAACCATGGATATTTTCAACCACCTGCCGCGAAAGGGAAAAGATTCACAACCAAAACACCAACCCCATTTAGCAAGAAAAGCACTATTTCTTTGAGACAAACTGCCGATCCCCAAACCTCCATCTTCAAGGTGCAAAGAAGTGATTTTCCAATAGACTAGATGCTTCAAAGGCCCCTTAGCCTTCCCTCAAAAAATCCCTCGTAGCTTTCTCAATATGTTTGCATATGTTTGAAGGTATTTGAAATAAGGACATATAATAAGTTGGAAGATTGGCCTAACACTGAAAAACCTTTTGAAATTGCAAAATAAAACTCGATTTTCTCAAAACATACACCCACCTTCAAAATGAAACCTGAGAAGTATGAAGAACTTCACTTTGTTCACAAAGTTGAGATCCTGAACCACATCCAAGAATTATTATTATTATTATTTTTATTTTTTTATTTTTTTATTTTTGGGTAAGGAACAATTTCATTGATGAGTGAAATTACAAGGGAGGGGGCAGTCCCCGAGAACCAAAGGAGTTACATGAAACTTCTCCAATTGGTCAAAAGAGAATGAATGCTATACGAAAAAAAGAGAGGCGAAGATTTACGCCAAGTAATAGCATGGAAAATGATAGTATCAAAGAATCTATCAAAAGATGTCTCCTTGTTGAAAATTCTATAATTTTGTTCCATCCACGTGTTCCAAAAAAGGCATTGATGATATGGAGCCAAAGAAGTTCCTTTCCCTTTTTGGAAGGGTGGCACGAGAAGAGGAAAGGAATAAGGTCCTTGATGTCAAGAGGAAGTGCGGTTTTCCAGCCAAAAGATCGAAATATCTCATCCCAAAATTTTGATACAAAGGTACAAGTGTGAAATATTTGTTGTTGAGACTCAACACTGTTCTTACAAAGAATACACCAGTTCGGTGAGATGGAGATGTATTGTAGGCACGGCTGCAATGTATCTTGGGTATTGATGGCACTGTGAGCAAGTTCCCAGATGAAGAATTTGATCTGTTTTGGGTAGGTATCACTCCAACTGTTCTTGGCAAGAGAGGAAGGGAGGTAAAATAACCTTGTGTCCATGTCAAGTAACAAACCGTTGCTATCAATCCTCCAAACCCACTGATCATCCGAATGGCTTAGGCGGATAGGGGCTAGGAGATTAGACAAAACAGCCCACTGATCATCCGAGAAATTCAATGATGGATTCCATATCTTTCACAGCCACGTGCTTATGTTTGGAAAGAGAGTGCAGAAGAGGAAAGTGTGTTGCCAGGGGGAGTTTTAAAGCCAAGAGTCGTACTGAAGTAGGTGGATGCTCCATTGCCAATCTCAGCGTTCAATGATAAGGTGCTGGTGTGTCAAAATGCTTCTCCAAGGGCCTCTAGCAGAGGCTACTGTGGTGGTCTTAGGCCTTGATTGAAGGGGGGCGGTGCCATATCTGGCATAAACTCTCCTCCATAGGGCAGTTTTCTCCTTCTGGTATCTCCATATCCATTTAGCGAGAAGAGCTCGGTTTTTATCCCGAATTTCGTGAAGACCGAGGCCACCTTTGTCAATGGGGAGAGTAACCTTATCCCTTTTAACAAGGTGAATTGATGGGGATTCTTTGTGGCCCCTCCATAGGAAGGTCCTGTAGATCTCTTCAATGTTGGAAGCAACTTTGCAAGGTATAGGAAATAGAGATAAGTAGTGTGTGGGGATGTTGGAGAGGGTGGCTTGTATGAGGGTGGTTCTTCCCTCTTTAGATATGTGTGAGTTTCTCCAAGTGAAGCCTTCTGTATATTAAAACAATCTCTTTATCTTCCAGCCAAACTTTTCATACTTAACTTCAGAAATAAGGTTGACAAGCTCCCACAACCTTTCAATTTTTTTTTTCTTTAGATATTCTGTGAGACCACTAGATAGATTCTTTTAGCTCATGATTATGTCTTAATATCTTCGTTATTTCAATGAGAAGTTGTATCTTTCTTCAAAAAAAAGAAAAGATTATGTCTTAATATCTTCATCTGTAGGTTCAAACATGCTTTCAATTCTTCCAAGCTAAAAGATTTTCTTACTATGCTTTAACCATATTGCACTACAAAGTTCTTTTATATGTTTATCACTCCGAAAGAAACAAAGATGATCCTTAAGAAATGATGAGAGAAATATGCAAGAAAAAAGGATAACATAAATTACAACCACAGAAATTCTACCAAGGAAAATAAAGAGAAATCTAGAAAAAGGCCTTTACATAAATGCAGTATTTACTTATTTCTTTGTATTTTGCTGTTTTTATTTTCTTTTCACTCTATTGAGAATTTGTATTTGTTGGGGGTGAGCATGTAAGACTGAAAAACCGATCCGACCAACCAAAACCGACTGAACCGACATCGGCCAATTTGATAAAGGTTTTGGTCGGAGTCGGTTTTATTCAAATAAAAAACCGAGTTATATCGGTTTTTCGACCGATCGACTGACTTTTCTTTATTAAAAAAATGGGGAAAACAGACTGCATTTGTGGTGCTGCTGCAGTCCAGCCATTGAAAACCAGCAGCTGGCTGCTGGTTTTGAGGCTATTAATTTATTTTTTATTTTTTTACATTATCTTTTTTCTTTATTTTTAATTATCTTTATTATTTTACTTTTATTTATCTTCTTCTTCCTCAATCTCTCTCATTTTCTTTCTCTCTACTCTCCTCTCCCCTCCCCTCCATTTTCTTCTCCTCATCTTTCACAATTCACGGCCTTACTCTGTTCTTCTTCCCACTTCCCAGCGGCGCAACCCACTCTACGGCAACACGGCCGCCCTCTTCTTCTTCGTCTTCTCACTTCCCAGTTCCCACCGGCGCATTTCCACCCCTCATTCATCTTCTTCTTCCATTTTTATTCTCTTTTTCCTTCTTCTCCCCTTCCTCTTCACCAAACCGACTGACCATCGGTGTAGCTGGTCAGTTGGAATCGTGAAGCCTTCTAAAACTGATGAGCTTCAACTGATGGAAATCGAACATGTCGGTGGTCGGCGTCGGTTTGAGCCCAAAACCAACTCTGACCGACTGATGATCACCTATAGTATTTGTGAACAATTTCTTGTTCCTTTTCATTTCATCCATGAAAAGTCTGTATCTTGTTAAAAAGAAAATGTAGCGTTTGTCTCACTATACATTTACTGGTATACTTTTACTAATTGTATTTATATTGTTGTGAAAACATTGACCAATACATTATTCGGTTGATTCTTATGCATCAAGGGCAGATAGAAATTAAAGAACAATGAATTCTTTATTTATAACTAAGCCTTTCCATTGTGCTGCTTGGATAGACTGCACGCAACAGTTCTCCGGCTGCTTCTTCCACCTTTTTGGGGCTATTTTTTGCTTTCATTTGCTCTGGGTGTTTGCATCTCTTGAACTTTGTATTTTCTTTTCAATATTTCAGTGAGAATTCGTATCTTGATGAAAAAAATAGGGTTGAAACTTTTTGTTGTGCCGTTTTGACTTTTTTGGGTGAGCTGGTTTTTGTTGAGCATTTTATGCATTCTTTCATTGTTTTCATTTAAGTCTTGTTTATTCCAAAAAAGTCATGGGTCTCGACTTCACATTTACAGGCTAAGAGAGCTGGTTCAAAGCTGAAGAGCAGAATTGTTGCTGAGCAATCAATAAAAAAGTGGTCTGAAACAATTGAGCGAATGGAAGAGCAAGTTACTACGATTCTACGGGAAGAGAGGTTTCTTTATATGGCTGTTTCTCTGCTTGTTTTTCCAACTTCCCTTTCATTCTACTGTTGTTAATTTAAAAATTTTTGCAGAGAAGAAAGAGCTCTAAGGAAAGCTGAGATGGAAGCAACGAAGGTACAACTGTCCATGCTTTCTTCTCTGTTTCTATCTACACATTGTATTATGAGTGTCTTAGACTGCCTTGCATGTTATGGTGTATTATCAATACCCAACTTTTTCTAGAAATTTCAATTAACTTTGGTCATTATTTGCACTTTCTTTGTGTACTCAGGCAGAGAACATGATTGTTCATCAGGAAGAAATTTTTTCACGCCCTAAAAAAACCTGGTTTATATCTGACAAGGAAAAAAAGCTTGTAGCGAAAGCAGCTAAGGTAAGTACTTGTTGCTGTATATGCTTCAATTTTGTGCAAGAAAGTCTGGGATTTTCATTACTGTGTGATGTGGTCTTGGGCTCTTATGCTTAAGCTTGCGTTTATGATAATTTATTAGTCTCCTAGTCAGGAATGTCTTGTTATATATGCGCTATTTCAAGTTGGATCGATTTATTTCCCTGGTTTATAAGCAGTGATTTCGAGGCGCACCCGGGCGCTCGCCTCAGGCGAGAGGCGAGGCGATTTCGCCCAGGTGCGCCTTGCAACGTGCCCAGGCGAGTGCCTTCAACCGGGTGCTCGCCTTGGCACGCCTCAGCGCGCCTTTGCTCGCCTCTCGCCTGAGGCAAGGCGATCGCCTTGTTGAAGGCGGGCGCACAACAAGCTCACCTCAAATAAAAACCCTAAAAATTATCCAAATTCTCCTTGACAGCTTCTTCTTTGTCTTTGGTTCACCTTCTTTGTCTTTGCCGGCAACTATTTGCCTCTGTCGAT